CTGCGATGTACAAACTGATTGCACTGTATTTTATGTATGTATAATCATTTTCTATTTTAACGGTCTTAAATTAATTTTAAATAAATTTTTAAATCATCTTCAAAGTTTTTAAATTCCTTGATTTATTTTTGTGATTTTATGATTATTTTACTTTCTTTTATGTAAAGCACTTTGAATTACCATTTTGTACGAAATGTGCAATATAAATAAACTTGCCTTGCCTTGCCTTATCAAAAATATGCCACAAATTCTGTCAATTGAGCTTAGGGGATGTCTAATGCTATTTCATGCACAAACATACATATATTACAACATATTAATTTACATATATTTACATACATTATATGTTGGATTCTCATGCTAAACATGACTAAAGTCTCAAAAAAACGAGTTGGACGTATGACGGAGTATTTCTGTGCCAAAGACACCCCTTCAGGGTTCATATAAGTTTTGGGGGAAAAAAAATTCCGAGTATGGCCCTGTATGACGTCATCAGGTGTGGAATTCCTTGTATGGGCAGTGGGCACTTCTCCGGGAAGAGCAAACAGAGCGAGAGCAAGAGCACGCCCATCAGCATGCTTCATTCGGGTTACAGAAGTCATCAGCAGCGCTGCACAGGATTCAATATAGTCAATAAAGTTTTTGTTCCTGTTTTATTTATGTCGATGTCACAGCTTGCAGACGATCGCTACACAAAAGCTACGCATGACTCTTTAGCTCAGCCCACAGCATACCTCCAGTTTTCAGAGAGAAGCAGTACAGCTGTATATGTCTTTTATAAATCTGATAAAACTGAAGACACTCCGGCGATATGAAGGATGCAATACTACTCTATAGGTATAAGATTAAAATGAGAGTTATGTCCCCTTTAATTCAACCTGTAATATTATATAACCTATATAACCTGAAGTCTGTAAGTATCCAGTTGTAATATTTTTTATATTTTTTGTGTGTTAAAGACACTTTGCATGAAGTGTAGATAGAAATTTTAAAAAATTCTCAACCTTCTGGAGCATCTGTAGGGCCAGGGTTCGATCTTTGGCCATCTTTTCACAATCCTGAGCTGCTTGAAGTCCAAGTTGGTTAGCCTGGATCTCCAGAGCTGCCATTTTCTCCTACATAACCAAGAGAAATGTTTCAAAGGAGGCCGTGGTTGTATGTCATTCCAGTCTAATACAGGATCAGCCGCTCAACACTGACTTTGAGTACTTTAATAGACCTGACCTGAGATCAGTGTCATTACCTTCCTTTTGGCCACACTCCGGTGATACTCTGCCTTCTCTTGCGACAGCTGCCTGCTGACCGTCTCCTTCTCCTCCTCCATGCCACTCTCTCGCTCCAACTGGCGGAACTCCAAATCCTCAAAGCGCTTAGTGGCCGACTCCAGTGCCTCCACCTTCTACAGACACACACATGCACAGATGGACAGAGAGACGGAGAGGGAGAGGGAAAGACAGAGGCAGACGAACAGATGGGAGAAACAAACAAGCAGACAGACAAATGTTCCTCAATGACATGCCAAAGAAGATCACTATGTCTGCCAAACAATGTTTGCTGTATGGATCACTTTTTTTTTTTCAATGCATCTCCTGAAAAAACATTTCATAAACGTCCTCTATTTGGTGCTTATTGGTTAAAGTGTACAAAGATACAGAAGACAGAGGCGATTCGCTCAGTTAATTACCATATCAGTGAATTAGTGAGATTTAGTAAAATAAAGCACTTAAGCAAGAGTGGAAAGCAAAAGACAGACATACAAGTAAATTCATTTCATGCATTTTCATTGCCTAAAAGAGCAGAGGTGCATCATAATGATCATGGTTGTTCAGTCAGTGTGTAAACCCTTTACTGCCATGAGCATATTGTGGCTCAAGAGGGAGCGCAGACAGCCAACACACACGGCCATAGGATATTTGTGCAGTTTGTACAGATCCAAATTGTAACAAGCTGTCCAGTTAAGACTGTTATATCATGTCATGTGTTTTGCCCATTAATTTCTGGTGATACTAGAAGGTGATATACACCAATGGTTATTTTTCATAGTATGTCTTGTGTATAAATGTTATTACTTAGGAGTAGATACATCAATCTACTCTGCTAATCTCTGATTATTTGCTTTTTTTTGCTATTTGTTTTGCTTTTATTTAGAGGTGCACAATAAATTGGTACCATATGTGTTTTTGCATAACATCAGAGATTATTTTATATATGGATATTGTTATTCAATTTTGAATGTTCATTTCCTTTATATTTAGATTACCCTTGCTGTCATTTACCCTTGCTAAATGTCAATCATTTAATAATTTAGTACATGTAATTTTAAATATCCATTTGTCATACTGTGCATTATATTTAAATACAAGTTTAAATATATAAATTAACTAAGCATTTAAACCAACTGATATCATATTTTACTCTTTTATTTTTAATTTATTTAGAGAACTGTAAATGTCAGCTTGTTGTATGAGCCAGAATTATAATATTGGTGCATCCTTATTTATTTATTAACTTGACTATCAATTTGAAATTATAACTGTTCTATGGTGTTCTGGCTTATTTTTTTAAGAGAACCACTACAAGCATCTCTGTTTAATACACACACACACACACAACAATTCTGTAGTAGAGCTCTCATCTATGCTACTGTAAACAATGGAGAAAAGATTACTTAATAGCCAATCTTTTTTTTACAAATTACATCCACATAGGATAATTAAGAGTAAAGTAATTTGCAGTTATGTATTTAATTTAATTACCATGACACTGGAGGACTGTTGTGAGAGATTAACAGCAAAACAGCTTTGTTACATATTATTTTGTACCCCCCCCCCAAAAAAAGAATGAAACACTGGATGCAACGTATTAAAATAAAAGAAAAAAATTTAATTAGAGGCAAAATGAAAATTCAACACTAATTACGTGAACTAATAAAAAAAATCATGAGATCAATCGCTAATAATTATTTTAATCTACTAACAATCCTACTTTTTTTCTTTTCTCCTGCTTCTCTTTGAAGTGAAGTGGTTGCATATGTTCGATAATCATCGTGACTCTCGGGCAGTATCAAAGCACACACTGACCCTGGTCAGTTGTTCCTGTAAGTGCTCCCTCAGTGATTCGGGGCATTTATGAAGCTGGCCCTTCAGCTCACTGTACGAATCCCTCAGCCTGGCCAGGACATCCCGCTCAGCTGAGACTTTTGCTCTTTCCTACAAAAATATTACACACACGTAATATACACACTGGTAAAATACACACGCAGCGAGTCAGTGATGGCGGAGAGGGGTGAAAACAAAGAGGAAACTGCTTAGAAAAAGACACCATGCTGTGTTAAAACAGAGGTTTAGATATGGTGTTGCCATGTCGATCAGAGCCCATATTGCAGCAGACTAAATTTGAGAATAAATATTTATACAGCAGTCAGTTCTACTCAATACATCTATTCATATATAATATCGTATTACTATTAAATATCTCAATTTAGCCTTAGAATTGACTGTTTTGTGATATCTGTTGCCTTTATGACATTTGCACACATTTGTTGATGTGTGAATTACTTACTACTTTTTTTTTTAAATACAGTACATTGATTTTATATTGCGGTCTAGAACAAGGTGGCTGTAACATTATCTACCTTGTTTTGCAACCCAGATTTCTCTGCTGTTTACTGTGAATGTAAAAGATTTACAATTCATTAGCCACTGTAGGTAAATAATCAGAAGAATAACAAAGTGCAGTAAACGGTAAAACTATTTGCGCTACAAACCAGCATGTTTATGATTACGATAATACATTAAAATTATATGATAACAATTACAAGTTTACAATATCAGCAGCATAATGGGCTGTTTTTGCACAGGTAAAATAACTGAAAGTGGATAACACCGGAAGCCTTGCACATTCAATTTACAAATGGCCGCACCATTCTTTCGTTAAAAATAAGGTGGATATTGTAGATTTCATGCCAAATAAACTTTTATCAAAAGACTGATATGAAAGTGCCCACTCAAATATGCAGTGTAATCAGTGTCATTTAGATTAATGAAGAGTTAGACGTCAGGCTGTTAGAAATTAGCATGATAGTAAAGATGCATGCACAAAGTTTTTCAGGAAAAACAAACAGGAAACGGAAGCATGCTTCATAGAGTGTGTTTGTTGTCAGTACCTTCTCTTTCTCCCTCCGAGTCGAATTTTCCACTTCATTCAGTTTCAGCTGAAGTTGATTGATGATCTCCAACTCTGCCTCCACTTGATCAAGCTCCGCCTTCCGTTCCCCCTGCAGTAATGCCCTCTCCATTTCTGCCTGCCAATAAAACGACACATTCAACAGTCTGTTCACTTCCATATGTTTCTGTTCATATGAATAGCGCAGCTTTGCTGATCAGGCAAAATCCTGTATTCACATTGATTTTAATATGCAACACCAAAGATGTTTCTATGCATGACAGATGGTGATGCACTGATGTAGATGAAGACGACCAGTGACTGAACAGATTTTACAAGTTTTGATGTAATCTACATCTCTCGCTCTCATTCATGCAGTTATGACAGAACTGAGGGAAGTTCAGTGCACTGTGTAGGCACATCACACAGGCAATGGTCTAGGTTTATGATTCAGTCTAACCTCTTGTCTGGACTCCTGTATCAGCTGTTCCAGGTCAGTGACACGAGTCTTCAGCTCATCCACCCGAGCCATAACCTTGAGCCGCTCTTCCTCCAGATATGCTCTCTCCTGCTGCCCCAGCATTGAAGAATCTTCATGCTGAGAAAGCATTTGTCAATTACAGCAAATTGTGTTTGTGCGTGAGTATGTGTGTGTGTGTGTGTGTGTGTGTGTGTGGTGAGGCCTCTCAGACAATGGTTGCAACAAATAAACTGTACCTGGCATTCTAACAGTGACCTAAATGAATTGTGTTTGTGTGTGAGTATGTGTGTGTGTGTGTGTGTGTGTGTGTGTGGTGAGGCCTCTCAGACAATGGTTGCAACAAATAAACTGTACCTGGCATTCTAACAGTGACCTAAATGAATGAATACCATTTTTCTCTAATGAAAGGGAGAGAGAAAGGCTGAGAAAGACGTGTTTACGAGCAGAAGAAATGCGAAAAACTAGGTGAATTCAAATGGGACTACCAACAGACCACAAGAGGTAAATGTATGTTTACTTTTCCACATGCAGTACATACGAACATCTACAAGTACACCGTTGAGTGTTTTAGCCAAATCTTGCATGTTTTAAATTATGGGCACATATGCATAATAATGTGTGAGTGCAAATACGTCAGTGTACTCATTCAAGCAGTTTTGGTTTTGCATATAATGAAGTCTAAAATTCTGAGACCACTAACTCTTCTATTTTGCATTTTGATACACATTGTCATGGTAAATTTTATTATTAGTGTTACAATTTGAGTGAAAATCTGAATTGAAAAATTAGCATTTTTTTAGTATTTGGTATGTACTATATATTTTAATTTCAGTAACAATATTTAACATTTATTTTATTTGAATGACAGATGCACTCAAGCTGCATGAACTCCACAAGTTCGAGTGAAACCTGATAATCATGTTCTCCCATGTTTTGAGATGATTCAAAGAGCATCTTGAGCTTCAATGGAAGCAGGAACATCTGGCCATCTTTATAAAGAGTCACATGATCAATGTCACAAATGTACTTATTTGACTAGTGACCTAGAAATAGTGCAGAATCTTTAATATTTCTTAATAATTTTGTTTCACAGTGCTTCTTTGTTTAAAAATGATCCAAATAATGTGTATTTAAATTAGGTTTTGAGGCTCAATGTGATCTCAGATCTTTGGACCTTACTATATTTCTCTCTCTGTGTATGTGGATCAGTTTGTTAGTCTAATAGTGGGAGCATCTCCGATAGTTTGTGTGCATGAGTATGTGTGTGTTGTACCTCCTGGTGCTGGCTCTCAGTGCTGCTACATTCCTCTTTCAGGTTCTCCTCCTCACTCTCTCTCTGTCTGTGAGAGCTCTCGGCCAGCACACTCGCAGGGTCAGGGGCGGGTCGCCAAACAGAGACCTCCTCCATCCCTGGAAACTGACATGCCCTCCCTCTGTCCACACCAACCGGAGGGTCGCTCTTATTATACTCCGCACACAAATTCAGGATGGTCTCAAGCCTCTGCCTCTCCTAGAAACAAGCACACACAAAAAAGGTTTCAGCTGTGCATAGAGCACAAAAACGAACACAAAAGTCTGAAATGATGTAAACACATGTAGTTAATACTCTCACTCACTCTTTTAGCACATTAAACTCTGGATGTAAAAAAAGGATGTAAAAATCCTGAACATCTGCAACAGTGCTTGCGGTGTCATACAAACACACTTAGCAAAAACTTTCCTACAGCTCAGTTACTGACCCCCAAACTTCTGAGCACACTCAAGCGACCTCTCACCTGGTTGTGATAGTCAGCTGCTGCCATCACTCTACCTAGATTGAGTATGTGTGTGTGTGTGTACATTATCTACTTACAGGCTGCCAGAGACCCAGTGTTCTCTCGTAGCTCTAGCCAGACTAACTAGCGCTCTAGGCATTGTGGCTCATTATATTTTACATGGACAATACCCAGCTCAGCTTGGCTAGATGACACAAGTGGCATTACTAAAATAGCATGGCAGGGGACGGTGCTCTCACAAGCCATCCATTTCAGCTAATCAAATTCAATTTTGATGAAGTAGGGAATTATTTACACAGACATAATTAACAATAAGACAGACCCGAGACTCAGACCTCTGAAAATGAACACAGTACGAGACAAATACAATGTTATTGTTAAATATAAAAGACTGAATTTAGCACACTTGGTGTTCAGTGCTGTAAAAGTCTATATCACTGAGCCATTATCTCACCAGACCGGCCAATAAAACGACTTGAAACACATGCTCTTCCCTTTTAACGAGGTCTCCCCTGTCAGGAGAGTGCAGACAGAGCACTGGAACAAGTAAACGCTAACTGATGGGTAACATAGCAACAGTATTCTTCTCCAACAAATGGGTGTCAGCACAGCTGGTATGCATGCTGAAGATGCCACGACACAGACCAACACAAAGCACAGCGCACTAAACCTTTGTGTGCAGAAGCCACTTTATGACACGACTGTTGTCTATTTGGGCCCTAACCCTAATCCTAAGAGGGAGAGAAGGTGAATTAAAAAAGATTCTTAACCTTACCTAATAAAAAAACTATATATCTGTATTTAAAGTATTCATTAATTGCAGTGGAAAACAGTGTTTAATGTTAAAACTGATTTTTAGATGCTTTAAATCTGGTAAACAAAGAAAAAATGGAAAAAAAAAAAATTTATTCAAAATTTGGTGCCATATCGCCCTCATGTGGTTTACAGTATGAAACGCTTTAGTTCTCTGTAGCTTCCACAAACACACCTATAGGAACAAAAGGCAAAATGACCTCCAAAACTAAAGTGAGCCAGAGAGACACATCTTCACAGACTTTGAAGACAAAGAGTATGTGTTTGTGTGTGGTGCAAAGCAAGTTCTCTACTCGTGTGTCATGACCCAAAAATAATAAATGCAATTAGACACATCACTTTGCACAGTTAGGGTAATAAAATGAACAGAGTTTTAAAAGGGAGGAGAAAATACTCCCTAATACTTGACAAAGTCTATGCATCCAATTAAACTTATTTGGCACAAATAATTTTAGCAACATTATGGCAAAAATTCACCTGTCACTTAGTAATATGGTTCATAAATTATTTGCCCAAATAATTTGTTCCATGTGTTAGGCTGGACATTTTTTTTTTTGAGCAGTATTAGAATTATTTCTGAAAGATTATGTGAACCTGAAAACTGGAATAAAGTCAGTAATGCTATCAAAGGAATAAATCACATTTTAAAATAAATTACAATAGAAAATGGTTATTGTAAATTCTAATAATATTTCACAATATTACTGTTTTGTTTTTTTTTACTATATTTTTATCAAATAAATGCAGCCTTGGTGAACATAAGAGACTTTCAAACCCTAAACTTTTGAATGGTAGTATATATTTCAATACCTTTGCTCTGTACACAAATTTGTTTCAGTGCTGGGTTAATACTTGATGTTAGATGTAACATCTGGTTCCTAAAGGAAAACTGAGTAAACACAGACTCATGAGGGGATTTAAGAGTAAATATGACATTAGCCCACAAGCGATATGATCTCATGTCAGGATTAGAAGAAAAGATCAGATTCCAAATGCTTTTTCTCTTGTTTCTAATTCACTTCTTGCTTTCATTTTTTTTTTCTTATCTCCCAAATACTTTTCTGGTCAAGAACCAGTTGAAATCTCAGGGTATTCTCAGCGTTTATCACTTCTGCCCCATCTTTAACCCCACACACATCTTAACACTGAAACGCTATGAGGTCACACCTCTGAAATGTCATTTTTGAAACTAGCAATCAATGTCTGTGTATTCTATGGCATTAGGATGGAGATTAGTGCTAAATAGCCTACAGCTCAGCTGTGCTTTAATATGGCAAAAGTCCTTTAAAAAGGTGATACCAACCTGAGCAGCAGCTTTAAAAAAGGGCATTCAGCTCCTTTTGGACCACAACTAGCACTACCTTTCAAATTGCCACACTATTGGACAGAGCTGTGCTGTAAACATGACAACAGTGCCAGACAGACCAGAGACCACAGGACAAAGTTAAACCAAAACAGAGTGAAAACGTGTTCATAATACACTTAATGTTCCTGCCATTGTCTCGAAACGCTGACCAGAGACTTAATATGGAAAACAACTTCCTATTCTTTATTAATTCAGTTCTGTCTCATAGTAAATATCCTAAAATAGTTTTTCTCAAGGGAATAACAAGAATGTTCTGTGGCTGCCGCATATAATTAGGCTTGTCTGTGTATTGTATTTTAAAGAAAGGTTAGAGTATTTAATCATAAAAATGTCATTAAGGAGTTGGTTAGAGGCACAGAAGATGCATATAATTTCAGGGATAAATAAGGTGGCGACGACTGAGTAACAAAGATGAATGGCAATTCCATATGGGAATTTGAGCTGCACCCAAGGAGCATCTGGGGTTTTTAATAGGTTTAAATGAGAGAGATGATGTCTATGTGTGGTTAATTTAGGGGCTATGGTGGAGACGCATGTTTAGACTGCCAGAGGACAGTATATGTGTGCATATGAGGAGGAGGGTAGCTCAAAGCACTCAGATTGTGTCGGGTAAATATAGTCTTTGGGCAGCCACTCGTTCTGCACATGAGCTTTTAAAAAGGCCTCAGGAATTTACATCTGTGTGTTATTTCTGACTTCTCTATGTCTTTACCAGAAAACTCTCACCATTTAAACTCCACCCGCTCAAACTCCAGCACTTAAATCTAAGTCCACTCCAAAAGCCAGTGACGCTCAAAGCCTCATCACTCAAATACTCAGTCCTCTACAGGAATCTATAGCCTCTCTACTGCATTCACTTAGACAAACGATCACTTTATTAGTACCAGAACTCATATTAAGATTTAATTTGAAAAGTGAAAAAAAAAAAAAGCATATCCCACAACAGCATTGGAGCATCTGGATTAATTTTTATCCCATTGAAAACACCACGATGTTACACACAAACAGTACAAGTTAAGAGTTTGGACACAATTGGCTCAATTTATGTCTCATGATCTTAAAAACCTTTTGATCTAAAGCAGGGGTGCCCAACCCTGCTCCTGGCAATCGACTGTCCTGCAAAGTTCAGCTCCAACCCTAATCAAACACACCTGAAGCAACTAATTAGGGTCTTCAGGATCACTTAAAAATTAAAAGCAGGTGTCTTTGATTAGAGTTGGAGCTAAACTTTGCAGGACAGTCGATTGCCAGGAGCAGGGTTGGGCACCCCTGATCTAAAGCATTTTGCTTAAATGATTGAAATTAGTTTTGAAGATAAATTATTTACAAAACTAAAATTTAAATGTGTGAGTTTTAACAGATAAAATAGGTAAAAACTGCATAATAAAATGACAAAATATTATTTTGATTTAACATTAAATAACCTGCATTTATTTGATTAAAATAAAGTAAAACAGGGTTATTGTGAAGTGTTATTATAATTTAAAATAACTTTTCTATTTTAATATAATTTTAAAATGTAATTAATTCCTATGATGGCAAAGCAGAATTTTCAGCAGCCATTAATCCAGTATAAATATATTTTTGTGTAAACCACGATACATTTTTTCAGGATTCTTTGAATGAATGAATGGAAAGTTTAAAAGAACATAATTTATTTGAAATAGAAATCTTTTGTTATATTATAAATGTCTTTACCGACACATTTGATCAATTTAATGCATCCTTGCTAATTAAAAGTATTAATTTAAGTATTAATAAAAAAAAATCTTACTGACCCAACACTTTTAAAAGGTAGGGTACCCTCCATCTTATTTCAGAGTTTGATGATAAAACTAGTACTTAATGAGTAAGTCTGTCCAAACTTTTGACAGATACTGAAAATACACAAAAGCTCAAGACATACCAGCCTCTCCATTTCCTGCTCACGCATCCTTTCCTCTCTTTGCCAGCGATGGTACTCAAGTAGGTCTTCCTCTTTGTCGCTGACCTCTGAAATGCTGTTCTTGCGTTCCCGTGTGCGCGGCTGAACCTGCCGAGGCTCCCTGGGGTTCTTTCTCTGGTTACGGGGACTAGTAAGAGGAGACACACCTGTCTGAGAGCCTAGAGCTGGGGTGATACCCGTCTTCTGCTTACAGCAAGGCTGGTCCTTCAAAAGAACAGATAGAGGAGATGGACTTCTGGCATGCAATTTTGTATTTCCTACTTCTTCCTCAGCTGTGGCTCGTCGTTGGAGACGAGGACTCTCTGGTACAGTCCGCCCACGAGAGGTCAAAGGAACACCGGGTAGAGCTCCAGGAAGAACTGGCACCCCAAGGACACCTCTGCGTGCTGTGGAGGGGCTGAGAGGAGGAAGTTCACGCATGCTGGATTGTTCTACACTACGGCGGGATGACTGGGGACTGTCTGGAGGAAGGAATGCACATGAATGGGACTGAAGACTGGAAGAAGTTTCTTGGACTGATGAGCCAACACTGGATCTGGGGCTAGAAGATGCTGGTGAGGACAAGGAGGTGAGCCTAGCATCGATCTGTCTGCCTAAATCTCCAGATGCAATTGAGACAGACCCAGAAGAGGAACCATGGGCCAGGTGTGGACTCTCGCCTCTACAGTTTGTAGAAGGGCTTGAGGGAGTTTCAGTCAAGGCTTTTTGAAGCCTGGGACTTTCTTGATCCTTTAGCCCTCCGTTGGAACTACTGGCTTTGGATGCAAAAGTGCGTGGCTGTGGCACCGGGGCCTGGACAGTGTGGGTGTAGCTGGTGGAACGGGTATTAGCGGAGTCCAAACAAGCCCCTGGACTACTAACCACAGAGGGGGTGGAGAGGGGGGAGAAAGGAGGACTGGTATTTTCATAGCTGGAGCTTACAGACAAAGTACCAGGACTGGTTGGAGGGGAGACAAGACCGTGGCCGCTCCCGTTGAGCATGGCAGACTGTGGAATGGGGTGGCGTTTTTTTTTACATTGCTCAGATGAGGAAGTCTGGCCTTCATCCATAGTCAGAGAATTCATAATGTCCTGAATATCCTTCTCAATAGAGCGCACAAGAGTGCCGTGTCCAGGACAAGGTCGCTCGTGCAAAGGAAGGTGGTTGCCATTGACTTGCCCATAGGTTTCTGTGGAGAATAAACAACATTACTTGACAATTCTAAATATGAACTTATATCAAACATTGCAGACTCATACAAGATACGTACCAGGTTAACAAAATTTGTGATTTTTTTTTAAAATATATACACTAACATTTAAAAGTTTGGGGTTAGCAATACATTTTTTTGAAAGAGATCAATACTTTTATTCAGCAAGGATGCATTAGTTTGATCCAAAGTAACAGCAAAGACATTATAGACATTATATAAGCCATTACATAAATGTCACAAAAGACAAAGAATACTGAAAAAATAAATGTATCACAGTTTCCATAACAATTAAGAAACTCAACTGTTTTCATCATTGATAATAATAAGAAACGTTACATATTAGCACCAAATCAGCATATATAAATTATATCTGAAGGACCATGTGACACTGAAGACTGGAGTAATAGCTACTGAAAATTCAGCTTTGCTATTTCAGTTCTTAATATATTTTAATATAATAAATTAAAACATATTAAGAATACTTTGCATTAAAACTGTTTTAACTGAATAATCAAATGAACGCAGTCTTGGTGAAAATAAGAGACTACTTCAAACCCCAAACATTTTTTTAAAAATCAGACCCCAAACATACACAAGGTCTTCTTCAAATAAAGAATTTACTTTACTTTACCCAGAACCATACTTTTAACATTAAACTGACAATCGAATCCATTATATAAAACATTATTTACAACATTTTTAAAGCTATTTTGATCTGAACAACAACAAAAACAAAACCTAAATCAGACATCTAACTCTCAAATCTGGCAATCACATGGATTTAAAAATGCTATATTTAAAACTGTCAGGACAATATTTCACTCATACCACGTGTGCTCTAAACCCATACAGGACGGGGCTGGGTATAATGCCTGCAAACACACACCTCCCCCTCTCTTACACATACACTCTGGGTGTGTCTCTCAGCCTACAGACTGCGGATGGCAGGAATCCCACCCTCTGCCCAAAGGTCAGAGCAGACAGAGGAGAATGGAGCCTGAATTATGGCATGGACTCATTTTGCACACTCAAGACCAGCTGAATGCACTCAGTTCTGTTCACTCTCTGCAGCCAGGGCCACCGGTGCACTAAACACGTTATTTTAGTCAGAGCCATGGCACAGTGGGGAGAACACATGCTCACAACACATAAGCGAAGCTTTCGTATAAGCTACCCTTTTAAGTACAAATGTCATTTTATTTGGAAATATACAGTATATATATATATGTTACTGTCATTTTGCCAATCAAACAAGTAGTTCTTAAAATTTTTGTAATATTATGCTTCTACTGTCCAGCAGTAACCATCCAAATGTGCTATTTTGCTACTTGAATCCATTGATAAAAGTGGCTAAGAATTTACAAGAATTTAAACATTTTAGAATTTAAAGATTAAGTCAAATGAAGAATTAAGCGACTGAAATGACGGGACACTGCCTGAAAGATGGATACAAAGATAGATATGGTAGGACAAAAAAAAGAACTTTTAATAAACAAAATGACAAAAACATTTGGTATGCTTATTGAACAGAAAAATTTTTTTACCTTTCTGTAATTATAACACGAAAAACCTTTTTGTCACACTGCTTCATAAGGAACAGCTCTTTTCCTGTTTGCTCAGCTTGTAAGGTGAGAAATAATTGTATTTGTTCAACAAGTAATTGCAAATATGTTTCATATATAATGCATTTTAATTATTATCAAAATTAAGAGTAAGTTGAGGTTTATTTTCCAAGTATAGACAAGTATCTATTAAATCAGACCAAATAACCATTTCAATGTTTTTTTTTTTTTAACTAATGACTGAAAGGATAGGGTCAGACAGAAAAACAATGATGCGCACAACAGTTAACACCCACACTGGCATCACAACAACGTGATATTCATCACTGTCATGGTGTCATGTTCCTTTAAAATGTCCAATAGTGTTCAAGGATTCTAAACTAACAGGGTCAAAGCCAAAGTCACCCAGCAGGGGCTTTCCAGCAGTTGACAGAGTGCCTGTGGCCATTCAAATTCCCATTCTTTTCAAAGCGATTTCTCCTCCAAGGACATCACTTCCTGGATTCTAGACTTATTTGAAATGAGTCAATGCTGAATGAGTGAGAGCAGTGTTTAAAATGGGCAAAGATACAGCTGGAGTTTCCTCCAGTAACATGGATATTGAAGAGGGAGGATTAGGCGGAGTTATTTTAGGCAGATTTGTGTCACCTGAGCAGTGTCTGGAACTTGTTATAATTATCTAGGGTACAATGCCTCTCTGTGCCCCGTTTGCTGTAACGTTTAGTAATTAAATAGATGGAATGTGCACCATTATTCACAAATTTAGCTCTCTCTCTTGCCTTCAGCAATTTTAGCTCCCCATTGCATCCAGAGCAGTCACCTTACACTACCAGATTCCAGGCCAGTGTAATTTTGCTTATGTATATATACCTGAGTGGTTCTTGTAGGTACTGGTAAATCCAGGGCTTCCACCAGGCATCAAACTCTTCATCCTGATGGCCTCCTCTGGGTGGTTAAAGCGGAAAAAGGATGACTGACCAAAACACAGCATACACCCTGAGGAAAGAAGCATATGTAAGCAAAAAAAAACAAAAAAACAGAATTACCATACCAATAGAAATTAAAGTTCACTGTATAATAAAAAGTGCTTTATGAGGAACATTCTAAACCAAATGTTTTTATTCAAGTGAACAATATTATTTTTTTTAAAAAGACTGAATTAAAGACTGCACCTGACTACACTGAGTTACACTAAAGACATTAAAGACAAGGAATAAAGGGCAAAAAATGAAAACTGTCATAGGATTTGTGAAATACACAGTGTTTATAAGTTAGCTGACATTTTCTGTGACCTTTTTTAATAATTTTATCGGGTGGAGTTGCCAGCCCCATACCCAACAACTCTGAATGTGGCAGAAGTTTACCTCAAGAAAAGTCATCTTATGCTTCCATCTGCTGAAAGTGTAATTATATCTTCATAAATATTACTTTATTCTTTCAAGGTAATCTAGAGCATCTGAATGAAACAAAACAGGGGTGTGGATGAAACATAATAAAGCCAAACAAAAAGCAATCAGTACCGTGCGACTCCACCGGGCAGGGACACCGGCAAAGGACATAAGTATCGCTTTTTATCTCTCCTCTTTCCACTTCTGTTGACACAGTGTTTGTCTGGCCTGAATCTGTGTCCTTATTTACATGCTTTATTGCAACTCATATCACGGCTTATCTTGCCATATCATAGAGTTCAAACAAAAAGATTAAACTGAGTTTGTCTATTAGTAGGAAATGCACACGTATAGCTCCTATACATTCATATCACTTTGTCCCTCTTTGTGCCCTTATGAAAGTGGTGTGATTAATGGGGCAGAGGGATCAATGCAGAGTCTGTCAAAATGCCAGTGAATTATGAGCCAGACTTCCATTTCATAATGAACATTGGCACAGAAAGCACAGAGAATATAAGATCAGTATGACTCATTGCTGACTTACAGTACAGTAGAGGACAGGATATGACATGATGCAACACTAACATGAGTTCCACTTAATGCCATTCCGTTATTCAACAGAAAATGTAAATCCCTCTTTTCAACACTTGCTCACCACTGTACATAAATCACTGTGTCTTTGTTGCTGAATTGTCAGTCTTTTTAAAATTAAACCGCTTTCTCTATCAAGACCATGTCAAAGCTGAACCTCATACAGTGTCCATACTCTGTAGTTTTGCCACATATATGTACAATACAAACACAACCGAGAATGGACATAGCCACATATTTGAGATTCAAGAAGGAACAGACTGTAACATTTTAAAAATCAAACAAATTATTCAATTCAGTAATATTCTATTCATTTGTAAATACTGGGGTACAATCTCAATATCTATAATGGTTACAGGCCAGTCTGAGAATTCACTCAGAAAAACAAGTGAAAGAAAATATTCTGTTTGTATACTTCCTAAAAATGTGGTACAGACAGAACAAATAAGGTCAAATCACTGATGACAGACTATAATCTCTATTTACACAACTAAAGACTAAACAATCAAACAGGCATTTGGCACAAGTGGGCATCAGAGGGGTCAGGCTGGGTATAATGAGGTCAGAAAAGTGTTTTGTAGTATTTCAGTAGAAGGGTCAAAAAATAAATCAGAGAAAATATACTGCAGTGCTGTTTTATTCTATTAAGCCCCATAAAACAATTGACGTAGGCTAGTTGTGTTTTGAGAGCGTTCCCAAAAAGTGCATGAGAGCATTAAATAACAGTCTATAATTTTTAAAGCAGAAGTGTGTGAAGACCATTAAAGGCACAATACGTAAGATTTTTATTAAAATATCCAAAAACCACTAGAACAGTGTTATATATTTTGCTGACTTGTGTACTTACATTATCCCACATGTTTCGAAGAATGTTTAAATCCAGAGAAATAAGCAATTTTAACTAGTGACACGGACCGAGCG